GGCCCCTGGGAGGGAGAAGCAAACACACACACACAGAAAACATAAACACAAGCAGGGTCGTCCGGAAAGAGCCGTCCGACCGTGACAGCCAGTTATAAATGAAGACAATAAAATGAATGAATTATGAAATGCTCATTTTATTTCTATTAGATCTAAAAATGTTGTGTAACACTACAACCTGAAACAAAAGATAGATGCGTTTGCCTGTAGAGGAGATAAAGGAAAATCTCTAACAACAGCTGTGAAATGGAATAGTCCAAATCACCAAAGGAAACTGGACCTGGGTTTGCAGGGATCTGAAGTTACTAAACATATGCACTAAAACTTAGGACCATATAATAATAAATATGTGCGTGATGAAAGTTGGGCAGCACGCTAACGTTTTGTTGCCACGGGCAACATCAGGCATCAGGCTCATCAGCAATGTTCCCTCTAAGCTGGCACGTCTCTGCGCACAGAAAATCTGCATTGTGCACAAAAAAAAATCTAACCTGAGTTGAAATTAAAATTAATACTTTAACAATTCTGTTTTGCAGTGTTAGTCAGTGACTGGCTGCTCCCGTGTGGGATTAGAACGATGCCGCCTTATCCCATAGTCCATCCAATGATGCAATTCTCATTCGTATATACGCAGCCAATCAACGTTGCTGACAGGCTATGACAGCGTCCTTATGTGCCGACACCGGAGTTTAAGCTGGCATAATGGCATGGCTGATGTGGAGTGAAGCCACGTTAATGACGTGTACAACCATTGGAGATGTGAGCAGGATAGACGAACAACTAGGCTAACAAAACCGCAGTTTGTGTTGCCATAAATAAAAGAGCTGCTGCCCAAACATAAGGCCAGTTTGTGCGTATGTGTGTTCTGAGGTCCTGTGTTACAGTATACTTTTTGGTTTTGGTCACTAAAATGCCATCAAAGCTGACTAAAGGAGGAAACTCAATCCCGCCTCACCTGCGGCCTGATCTCCTAATGAGCCCTTGACCTGTCCTGAGTCAGGGACTGCGGCCCAGGCCATCACTAGTGACGATGTCTGCACTCTCAAAATAGAGCTGCTTTTGGCTCTCCGCAAGGACTTCAGGGAGTTTAAGGGGGTTTCACTGGATTAACGTGAACAATATGACCATCTCTGTTTTCCCTGATTATACCGGCAAGATGGTGCCAGCATGTGCAGCCTTCGTGGACTGCTGCTGCCAGGAATCCAAGGGGAGTGGTTCGGCCTGCTCCACCAAGCCCAGCTGTTATAGCGGATATAGCGGACACACTAGTCCATTATCTCTGAAATGTGATTCTGTACTGTTCTCTGGTAATAAGGTTCAGCATCTCTCACGTTCAGCATTACAGAGAACACCATACCAGATTACGCATGGATAGAAACAGATAGCATGAAAGATTATCATAAGGACATCACAGAATGCACAGAAGGCTCAATATCATTAGGTCTTTATCTGGATCCCTAGAGAAATAATTAAGGTCAGCGGTCTGACTGAGAGAACTAATACTGCTGCCTGCTGTGCAGGTAGTTTCCCAAACACGTTATTCATGGTTACATACGATTTTAGACTGATGTGGGCCAAAGCCTAGCACAGCCTGTAACGTTATTATGACACATTATATGAGTGAGCTTGGCTTTAAGTGACTCACAGGTTTCTTTGAAAAACACTTTCTTATATCCAGCTTCTTCCTCTTTGCTGCCGTCCTCCTC